CCTATCTGCAATGTTGGGAGCAGCACTGGCAGCGCCGGGCTCCATAAAGTGCTCTGATTATCATCCAACTCAACGATTTATTATAAATCTGCAAATGAAGTCGCTGGAAGACACTGAAAACTTTCTGCTTTGATACATCTGAAATGTCTTTAAATGATTTCAATCGAAGATTTGTCTGTGCTTTAAATGACGCACAATGCCATCAGTGGGGACAAGCCGGCAGTTGGGACCAAACTTTGGCTGTTTGGGCAAACCCCTAAACCCCCAAAACTTTTCACCATTTGTCCCCGTTATGTGGGAGTTAAGCATCATATATAGAAGAGGTATTACCTGCTGTCCTCAAGAAGCAGCAGATGCTTACTCCGCCACATTCCTAGGAGCCACCAATGTCACCGGGAGTCCCCACCACTTGACCACTTCCAGTCCGGACACTTCTCCCCCCTTCCAGTCCGGACACTTCTCCCCCCTTCCAGTCCGGACACTTAACCCCCCTTCCAGTCCGGACACTTTCCCCCCCCCCCTTCCAGTCCGGACACTTTCCCCCCCTTCCAGTCCGGACACTTTTTTCCACCCCCTTCCAGTCTGGACACTTTCCCCCCCTTCCAGTCCGGACACTTTCACCCCCTTCCAGTCCGGACACTTTCCCCCCCTTCCAGTCTGGACACTTTCCCCCCCTTCCAGTCCGGACACTTTCCCTGCTTCCAGTCTGGACACTTTCCCTCCCCTTCCAGTCTGGACACTTTCCCTCCTTCCAGCCTGGACACTTCCCCCCCCCCTTCCAGTCCGGACACTTTCCCCCCCCTTCCAGTCCAGACACTTCCCCCCCCTTCCAGTCCTGGACACTTTCCCCCCCCTTCCAGTCCGGACACTTTCCCCCCCCTTCCAGTCCGGACACTTTCCCTCCTTCCCCTGGACACTTCCCCCCCCTTCCAGTCTGGACACTTTCCCCCCTTCCAGTCCGGACATTTCCCCCCCCCCCTTCCTGTCCGGACACTTCCCCCCCCCTTCCAGTCCGGACACTTTCCCCCCTTCCAGTCTGGACACTTTCCCCCCCCCCTTCCAGTCCGGACACTTTCCCCCCCCTTCTAGTCTGGACACTTTCCCCCCCTTCCAGCCCGGACACTTTCCCCCCCTTCCAGTCCGGACATTTCCCCCCCTTCCAGTCCGGACATTTCCCCCCCTTCCTGTCCGGACACTTTCCCCCCCTTCCTGTCTGGACACTTTCCCCCCTTCCAGTCCGGACACTTTCCCCCCCTTCCAGCCCGGACACTTTCCCCCCCTTCCAGTCCGGACATTTCCCCCCCTTCCAGTCCGGACATTTCCCCCCATTCCTGTCCGGACACTTTCCCCCCCCCTTCCAGTCTGGACACTTTCCCCCCTTCCAGTCCGGACACTTTCCCCCCTTCCAGCCCGGACACTTTCCCCCCCTTCCAGCCCGGACACTTTCCCCCCCTTCCAGTCCGGACACTTCCCCCCCCTTCCAGTCCAGACACTTTCCCCCCCTTCCAGTCCGGACACTTTCCCCCCTTCCAGTCCGGACATTTTCACCCCTTCCAGTCCGGACACTTTCCCCCCCCCTTCCAGTCCGGACACTTTCATCCCCTTCCAGTCCAGACACTTTTCCCCCCTTCCAGTCCGGACACTTTCCCCCCCCTTCCAGTCCGGACACTTTCACCCCCCCCCCTTCCAGTCCGGACACTTCCCCCCTTCCAGTCCGGACACTTTCACCCCCTTCCAGTCCGGACACTTTCCCCCCCCTTCCAGTCCGGACACAACCCCCGCCCCCTTCCAGTCCGGAACTTCCCCCCTTCCAGTCCCCCTTCCCCTTTTCACCCCCTTCCAGTCCGGAAACTCCCCCCCCCCCTTCCAGTCCGGACACTTTCCCCCCTTCCAGTCCAGACACTTTTCCCCCCCATCCTCCCCCAGGCCAATTTTTCAGCTTTCAGCGCTATCACACTTTGAATGACAATTGCGCGGTCATGCAACATTGTACACATATCAGTTTTTTATCATTTTTTGAGACAGATAAAGCTTTATTTTGGTGGTATTTATTCACCACTGGGATTTTATTTTTTTGCTATGTAAATGAAAAAGTCCAAAAAATTTTTAAAAAAGTGTTTTTCTTATACAATTTTGCAAATAAATAATCTTTCTTCATAAATCTTGGTCAAAATGTATTCCGTTATCTTTTTAGTAAAAAAAAAATAACCCAAATTAGTTTATAACCGAAAATGATAATTTAAAAAAAATTTTTACTTTTTTATTTTATTACATTACATTACATCGAGTTTATATAGCGCCAAAGGGTTTGCTCAGCGCTGTACAATAGAGGGGGGGGACAATACATGAAACATTACAGCAACTACAAACAGCACACGAGGGGTTAGAGGGCCCTGATCCTTGGAGCTTACAATCTAGGAGGGAGGGGGTAGTGGTACAGGAGGAAGTGGCTGTGGGGGATGGAGTGGTGGGAGGAATGAAGGAGAATGGCTGTTAGGTGAGGGTGGGGTAGGCTTCTTTGAAGAGGTGAGTTTTCAGGGAGCGCCTGAATGTGAGGAGGGAAGGTGACAGTCTGATGGATTGGGGTAGTGAGTTCCAGAGGATGGGGGAGGACCTGGAGAAGTCTTGCAGTCGTGCATGGGAGGAGGAGACCAGGGAGCAAGACAGAAGGAGGTCCTGTGAGGAGCGAAGGGTACGGGTAGGGTGGTACCTGGGAATCAGGTCGGTGAGGTAGGTAGGGGCAGTGTTGTGAATGGCTTTGTAGGTCAGAGTGAGTAGTTTGAATTTGATGCGTTGGGCGATAGGGAGCCAGTGGAGGGATAGGCAGAGGGGGGTGGTGCCAGTGGAGGGATAGGCAGAGGGGGGTGGAGCCAGTGGAGGGATAGGCAGAGGGGGGTGGAGCCAGTGGAGGGAGAGGCAGAGGGGGTGGAGCCAGTGGAGGGATAGGCAGAGGAAGGAGGCAGAGGTGGAGCGGTTGGTGAGGTGGATGAGTCTAGCCGCTGAGTTCAGGATGGTCTGAAGCGGGGAGAGCCTGCACTGGGGTAGGCCGGTGAGGAGGGAGTTGCAGTAGTCCAGACGTGAGATAATCAGGGAGTGTACGAGTAGTTTAGTGGTGTCTGGGGTAAGGAACGTACGTATCTTGGCGATGTTGCGGAGGTGGAGCCTGCATGTGTTTGTAAGTGATTTGACATGAGGTTGGAAGGAAAGGTTTGAGTCCAGAATGACGCCAAGGACTTTGGCTTGTGGGGCGGGATTGATGGTGGTGTTGTTGGTAGTGATGGAGAGGATGGGGGGGGGGGGGGCACTGGGGGGGGGGAAGACCAGGAGCTCGGTTTTGGAGAGGTTAAGTTGGAGGAAATGGAGTGACATCCAGTCAGAGATGTCGTTTAGGAGGTGAGTGATACGGGCGGAGAATGTGGGGGTGAGGTGAGGGGTGGAGAGGTAAATTTGAGTGTCATCAGCCCTGTACCATGTGATCTCTGTGATCATTCACAGATTTCACACGTAGTAAGCAATGATGCCAGGAAGTGACATCTTGCTTACTACTATTCATGTGATCACTGATTGGTCAATCAGTGATCACATGATCGGGACCTCACACAGAGGTCCCGTACAGCGATCGGTGTTCCACTGTGTCCGGAGGACACAGCGGGCACCGGATCGCGGTGCCGCGCGCTCCCAGGGAGCGCACACAGACTGAAAAATGCAGGCGCTCTTTATGAACGGCAACCCGCCCCTGGACCGCACCGTTTATGTACATGGGCCGGACAGGAAGTGGTTAAAGTAGATGCAAGGGAATAGCGGAAACGTCTCTGCCCAAATGTGACCACCGACCATATTTGGGCAATGATGTCACCACCATCCCCGCCCCTTTATAACTGATGACAAGTCAGGGAGCTATAATTAGGAGACGAATGTGCAGAATGAAAAAAAAAAGTTTTCTTTTGGATTGATTTGATAGGTTGCTAATTTAATTTCTTTGCATTCGTAACAAATTCACTAAGTTTTGTTTTGTTTTATTAATAAATATTAATTATTTCATTATTCGTTTTCAACCAGATTTTAATTTTTTTCAATGGATTTGAACTATTCAACTCAAATTTGAATTGAAAATATCCAATCCGAATTCATTGTGATGAGTAGCTGGTTCTATTCTATCCAAAATTAGAATTTTGGAAGATGGTTTTATTCTTTTTATTTTATTCTGTTATAATCTATTGTAATGTATTCTATTCCTTTCTATTCTATTATTTTCTTTTCTTTTCTACTCTTATCTTTTCTATTCTGTTTTATTCTATTCCATTCTTTTTGAAATTGGAATTCCAAATTATGTATACATTTTTAATTGGATTTGATTCGAATTTCGTTTTGCTATTTCGGATTCGTTTAACCCCTTGGCTCCAGCACCTCCCAGCCCTTTAAGGGGTTTGTGACACCAGAGAAACGGGTGTGTGTTAAGGGTCATGTGACCACTGTGATTGGCTGTCACAGTGGTCACATGACTGGAAAGTTTTCTCTGAGGTTCCGGCAAATGTGCACGGAGCGTGCAGGGCATGCGCTCTCAGCACATATTTGTTTACATTGGGACGTGCAAAAAGGCAGCCTCCTGACGTCAAGGCCCAGCCACCGAGGGGCTGCACATTTGCGTACCGTCAGCACCAAGGAGCTTTCACACTTTGAGAAACAATAACTCAGTCATGCAACACTGTACCAAAATGTGGTCACCAATGGGGTTTTTATTTTTTGCTATATAAATAAAAAACAACTGAAAATAAAAAAAAAAAAAAAAATCCAATTTTTGCTTGGTTTCTGTTATAAAATTTTGCAAATAAATAATTTTTCTTCATAAATTTAGGGCAAAATGTATTGTGCTACAATTTATGGGGTAAAAAAATAACTCAAAACTGTGTATATTTAGTCTGTAGAAAAGCTATAGAGTCCGCAAACTATGGGATGTATATCTGAAAATTGACCAGTTGAGACCCTAAAGTGCCAGACATTGATATGAGGTATGGGGGTGACCAGGATGCTGGTATGGGGTATGGAGGTGATCAGGACACTGGTATGGGGTATGGGGGGGTGATCAGGACGCTGGTATGGGGTATGGAGGTGATCAGGACGCTGGTATGGGGTATGGAGGTGATCAGGACGCTGGTATGGGGTATGGCGGTGATCAGGACGCTGGTATGGGGTATGGAGGTGATCAGGACGCTGGGTATGGGGTATGGATGGGGGTGATCAGGACGCGCTGGTATGGCGGTGATCAGGACGCTGATATGGGGTATGGCGGTGATCAGGACGCTGGTATGGGGTATGGAGGTGATCAGGACGCTGGTATGGGGTATGGCGGTGATCAGGACGCTGTATGGGGTATGGGGGTGATCAGGACGCTGGTATGGGGTATGGCGGTGATCAGGACGCTGGTATGGGTATGGGGGTGATCAGGACGCTGGTATGGGGTATGGCGGTGATCAGGACGCTGGTATGGGGTATGGCGGTGATCAGGACGCTGGTATGGGGTATGGAGGTGGATCAGGACGCTGGTATGGGTATGGCGGTGATCAGGGATATGGCGGTGATCAGGACGCTGGTATGGGGTATGGCGGTGATCACAGGACGCTGGTATGGGGTATGGGGGTGATCAGGACGCTGGTGATCAGGACGCTGGTGGGTATGGAGGTGATCAGGACGCTGGTATGGGGTATGGCGGTGATCAGGACGCTGGGTATGGGGTATGGCGGTGATCAGGACGCTGGTATGGGGTATGGCGGTGATCAGGGTGCTGGTATGGGGTGATCAGGACGCTGGTATGGGGGTATGGCGGTGATCAGGACGCTGGTATGGGGTATGGCGGTGACCAGGGACGCTGGTATGGGGTATGGCGGGTGATCAGGACGCTGGTGTGGGGTATGGCGGTGATCAGGACGCTGGTATGGGGGGGTATCAGGGCTGGTGGGGTATGGCGGTGATCAGGACGCTGGTATGGGGTATGGCGGTGATCAGGACGCTGGATGGGGGTATGGGGTGATCATGGGCGGTGATGGCAGGTGATCAGGGTGCTGGTATGGGTATGGCGGTGATCAGGATGCATGGGACGCTGGCATGGGGTATGGCGGTGATCAGGACGCTGGTATGGGGTATGGCGGTGATCAGGATGCTGGTATGGGGTAATGTCAGGGCGCTGGTATGGCGGTGATCAGGATGCTGGTATGGGGTATGGCGGTGATCAGGGGGCGCTGGATGGGCTGGTGATCAGGATGCTGGTATGGGGTATGGCGGTGATCAGGGCGGTGATCAGGGGCTGGTGTGGGGCGGTGATCAGGATGCTGGTATGGGGTATGGCGGTGATCAGGGCGCTGGTGTGGGGTATGGCGGTGATCAGGGTGCTGGTGTGGGGTATGGCGGTGATCAGGGTGCTGGTGTGGGGTATGGCGGTGATCAGGATGCTGTGTGGGGTGGGGTATGGGGGGTATGGCGGTGATCAGGGTGCTGGTGTGGGGTATGGCGGTGTTATTGTGTGCACTTGGACAAGTGACAGGGGCTGGCTGCACACTGTACAGTTTTCTACTCTGGGGCAGTGATCATGGACACTGGGATGGCTGCTGTACATTCCCAGCTGCAGCATCGGTTCGCTGTGCTCTCACACTGTGATCAGAGAGAACTGATCTTTAGTTTTTGTTTCTAGTGTTTACTAAGCGATTGCTATGATTGGACACAGCAATCACATGGTAAGACACCATGTGATCACCTGGACACAACGGTGATGTGATCCCGGATGTGCGCACTGCACAAGAGAACCGCCGATGCAGGCTGACGTACTGATATGTTAGCCCGCATCGGCACAGCCTCCCATCTGCCATCTATATCTTAAGCTGGTAAATTTGTTACTATTGTAGTTAGGAAATTCGGATACATCTGAATCTCCGAATAATGAAAATCTTGTCTGAATTTTGGTTTGAAACAAAAAAAAAAAAGGAAATATCTAAGGCTATGTACCCCCCTCAGAAGGGGGGGGGCAGTATTTAGGGGGCACTTATTTCAGATTCTGATAACCCCCCCCCACAGCCACTAACCAGGGTTGTGGGGATGAGGCCCTCATCATCATCAGGACAAGGTGATTTGCCAGCTGGAATATATGGCGAGATATGGAGGAGGGGGTGCACGCTTGTCCATAATGTGGTATTTTTCCCATTCACCGCTTTTCTTTTCCCTGACAAGAGAACATATCCCGGGAACATCCGACTTTGTCCCATTCGCACGGAATGAAGTTACATCATTTTGATGGATGGACAGCTATGCACTTTTTTAAAAAAATAAATCCAGCCGGTATGTTCTCGTCACCATTGGCTTTCTCGCTTTTCTCTGCTTTGCAGAGTAATTTATCTTAATTTTTTTATTCTATTTTTTTTTTTTTTTTTACTATTTGATTCTTTATGTTTGACCTTTTTGATAAACTGTTTTAATAAACTTCACCATAAAGAGTTATTATTGCTGTCTATGTGAGGCCGGTGAAGGTCTTCTTGGAAGGCTCCTTCAGGCGGGTGAAGGTGTTGTCAGGATGGAAGTGTTGATTTGCGCGTTGTCTGCACGGATATCCTGATACATACAACGAGACACCTTGTTCTTTGACAGGTCGCATTATTCACGGCGAGTGCCGTTCCTAAAGGTGACGCCGATGGTGACTGCTCACTTTGGAAATGTGTTTTTCTTTTTTTTATCGCTGAAGGTTGTTGAGTACTTTGTGTGCTGCGGTTCCTCTTCTACAGCTTGGCGGCCCCCGAACCATAAACTTTAAAAAGTTTATTTATACAGGCCTGATGTTCTGAATGTATTTATCACAACAGTCATCTCAATGCAACCTGGTATCCAAGGAGTGTGGAGCCACTTGAGCATTTGGGGAGCCTTCTGGAGCCGGCGTACACTGAGAAGGCTAATATGTGTCATTAGAAGGATCGGCCATGTAGACAAGGGTGAAAGGTGGCCTAAGTCTCCCCCAAAATCTCCTACATGTTTTGCTTTGCCCACGGGGACGCACTTGAGGTGCCATTAATTGTTAAGCGCAGGTAGCAGACCTGGATAAACCTTGGATAATGCGCTAGGTGTTTGCGCCACCTTTGTGCATATTTTTCATTTCGTTGATCTCCCCATCTGAGGAGGGCAGCATCTCCAGAACTTTATCCATAGATTATTCACACACCAGAGCTCTGGCCCTTCCAGGGTATTGGCCCTTTTGAGGAGCTAGAAAGTTAGTACTTTTGTCCAATCTGGCGTGAACTAGGGCCTTTGGAATCCACCTTAAACAACGTTGATGCATTTGCAGCTTAGGGGGATGTCGGGGAGATGCTAAAAGCAAACTTGAAGCAGGTTGATTCAGCCTAAAATGTCAGAAGAAGGTCAACTCTAGGTCAGAAGAAGGTCAACTCCACAGCAGAAGGAGGACAAACTCCAGATCAAAAGGACAACTCCAAGTCAGAAGAAGATCAACTCCACATCAGGAGGAGGATAACTCCAGGTCAGAAGAAGGACAACTCCATCTCGGAAGGAAAACTCCAGGTTGGAAGAAGATCAACTCCACATCAGAAGAAGGACAACTCCATCTCGGAAGGAAAACTCCAGGTCGGAAGAAGATCAATTCCACATCAGAAGGAGGATAACTCCAGGTCAGAAGAAGGACAACTCCATCTCGGAAGGAAAACTCCAGGTTGGAAGAAGATCAACTCCACATCACAAGAAGGACAACTCCATCTCAGAAGGAAAACTCCAGGTCGGAAGAAGATCAATTCCACATCAGAAGGAGGATAACTCCAGGTCATCAGAAGGACAACTCCATCTCGGAAGGAAAACTCCAGGTCAGAAGAAGATCAACTCCACATCAGAAGGACAACTCCATCTCGGAAAGAAAACTCCAGGTCGGAAGAAGATCAATTCCACATCAGAAGGAGGATAACTCAAGGTCAGAAGAATGACAACTCCATTTAAGAAGAAGGACAACTTTACATCCGAAGGAGGATAACTCCAGATCATAAAAAGGATAACTCCATGTTAGAAAAAGGACAACACTAGGTAGGAAGAAGAACAAATTCATGTTAGAAGGACAACGCCATGTTAGAAGAAAGACAACTCCATGTCATGAGAAAGACTACTCCAGGTCGGAAGAAAGACAACTCCAGATTACATGAAGGACACCTCCAAGTCAGGAGAAGGTCAAGGGCACCTTTGAAAACCTTCCTGAATGAAGAAGTTATGCTTTAGACAATCACCTCACTGTACTTCTACATTCAATGAATAGTACATACCAGAGCTCCTCCTTTTGGATATGATGAAGATGTCATCTCCTGGAGTGTAAGCCCCTTATTCAACCCAAAGCACCAGTCTATGGCAACACCAGAAATTCCAGTGAGAAGACTCCGCCCACCCCAGCACACAGCAGGCGATTGACAGCCTCAGCTGTGCAGGTTTCTTACTGTGTA